CACACTGACCACCTGGGGGCAGACATTCAACACAGGAGCTGCCCCCTGGTGGTTAGTGCACTCCCACAGGGGGAGCGCCACTTAGCCAGAAGCCCTGAGCCGGGCTCACGGCTGGCGAGCGCAGCAGCACTGGTGGGAGCCTCTCCTGCCTCCATGGAAGCACTAAGGATGTCCATCTGTTGTACATCCCCTTAGGGCTCCCAGAATATGAGAGGGTGCAGGCCAGGCTGAGGGACTTCCCCCCTCCAGTGCCCGAATTTCATGCACCAGGCCTCTAGTTAATAATAATATTCAAGAAAAAACAAAATTCATTGGTCAGTACTGGAAGGTGACAGGGTACCAGGTCATCACTCTGAAGGTGGATCAATAAAAGGATCATTATCTAAGCATTACCCTGCCCTTCCTGTACAAACTGTATTTGAGAGCCACCAAGGAGCTGATGAAGTAAAGAAAAAGGTCTTCTTCATAGAAGAACTAGTGACCCAGTGCACGGATTTGTGCACATTGAAAGGAAATTAATTAGAAGGTGGCCGGTGGGGCGGGACTGGGCAAGATAGGCCGGACATGCTCTGGAGCCAACCTCCCATGGTCCCTTCCTGGCATCTGCGGAAAGAGCGGGGTTACACTGGCAGGTGGGGTCCCTCAGCCTGGCCTGTGGGGACTGGGCCAAAACTGGCTCTCTGACATCCTCTGAGGGGTCCCGGAGTGTGAGAGGGCACTCACTCTGCCAAGTTGCTGTTGTACAGGGTGTGGAATGCAATGGGTCCCGGAGTGTGAGAGGGCACTCTGCCAAGTTGCTGTTGTACAGGGTATGGAATGCAATCACAAGTGTGCGGTAAACCAGATTCGGGGCCAACAGTGCCCCAGCAATAACATAACCCATGGCCGAAGGTGGAATCACGGGGCCCACACGATGAATCGGGCTCCCTCTTCTCTGGTTTCGGGGTGCGTCACCCAGAACCGTCGCTGCCAAGTTACTGCAGCTCTGCAGCTCCTGTGTTGAGCGTCTGCCTCCTGGTGGTCAGTGCGCATCATAGCGATACTTGGCATATCAGCCTTTTATATATATAGATTCCAGCTGGCTCATGCAGAATAAATGGCACAATTAGAAAAACCACCATTTTGCAATGAAATGATGGGTCTAGGCCAGTGGTCGGCAAACTCATTAGTCAACAGAGCCAAATATCAACAGTACAATGATTGAAATTTCTTTTGAGAGCCAAATTTTTTAAACTTAAACTATATAGGTAGTACATTGTTATTAACTTAATTAGGGTACTCCTAAGGCTTAGGAAGAGCCACACTCAAGGGGCCAAAGAGCCGCATGTGGCTCGCGAGCCGCAGTTTGCCGACCACGGGTCTAGGCCATGACCCTCAGTGGGTGTTAAAACCATTCGGTGAAGATGAGTGGAGGAATCGCACTGAGAACCCCCTGCACCCACTGTTCAGTCTTAGTCACTAGAAGTGGGACAACCAGAAAGCATGTGCCTGTGAAGTGACAGCAAGTATCCAGTTCCACCTCAATCTAATTCATATCTAGCTCTACCTAACACTTCCCAAGAGCTTCAGAGACTACAGGAATGAGTTCGGTCATGCCAAGAGAAAGCAAAGCCAGAACGTGGGATGTTCTGCAGAGCAATCGGCCCTGCTCTTCCAGCAGATCAATGACCTGAAACCAAGGGGGTTGAGGGTTGCTACAGATGAAGAGACTAAAGAGGCAAAACCACACAATAAATGGGCATCAACTTCTCAAACCCACAGGGTCCCACGGAGATTGCCAGCATCAATGTGTCTTGGCAGGTGGAACTCCTCTGGCCAAGGTGACGGTGAGAAGTTGCTCAGGTCCAGAAGACACGCCGACTCTTGCATTGGCTAAGTGCCTTTAAGACAGCCGTGGGCAAACTACGGCCCGCGGGCCGGATCTGGCCCGTTTGAAATGAATAAAACTAAAAAAAAAAAAAGACCGTACCCTTTTATGTAATGATGTTTACTTTGAATTTATATTAGTTCACACAAACACTCCATCCATGCTTTTGTTCCGGCCCTCCGGTCCAGTTTAAGAACCCATTGTGGCTCTCGAGTCAAAAAGTTTGCCCACCCCTGCTTTAAGATCTTGCCTGTCCTCCACGCTGCTCTCTGAAAACATTATTTGCACTTCCAGAGCCTCATCATAGTCCACCCTCGGGCTTCCTTTCCTAGCATCAATCCAGCAAACTATTACCAGTAAATGAGGACCCTGCTAGGTGCTGGGCATATAAAGGTGAAAAGGGCGCAGTCCCCACCTTCCCATGGGCTCCGGTGATAGAGGAGATGGACAAGTGGACAGGTTATTTTTATCCCAGCTCGCCCCTCCTGCTATGGTGCTGTTCCATGGCTGGGGGGGAGGAGGGGCCACTCCCAGGCCTGTCTTCCCAACGCCAGGACTGTGTTCCAGTCAAGAAGGTGTGTGGGGTGAGTGTTGCCGTTTCCCTGCAGCTGGCCCAGAGAAGAAGACGTGTGATACTTAGCAATGTTACATGATGTCTTTCCCCCGAGTTTGGAGCACACCACCCGAAACACCTCGCTCGGCCCACCCTCTCCGCGATCCACAAGCCGATCCACAAGCCGCCCTGTGGCAAGCATGCTCACTGCCAGCCGGAAGAAACAAACAAAAAAGCCAACCGGAAAAGCCTGGAGCCTTTCCTCTTCAGTCATTTGGTGCCACCAAGTGGTCAGTGTAATTTCCACTCTGTTAAACTCTGGCGAGGAGACTGGTGAAAAGGAGGGAGGGCAGGACACGTCCTTGGGTGCTGACAGCGACCCCATCCCAGGGTAGTCTGTTCTCTGACCCCGAGGGTCATTATGCCTCTGAAGAGTTTTACCTTCAAGGTAAGGGCCAATGTTGTTTAAAAGAAAACATAAAAGTTGGCGTGGCAACAAATCTGTGTGTTTCCCCCCCCCCTTTTACTCATAGATATAGCTGCTGGGATAACTGAGCATATATATTACAACTATATTTTGGTGAAATGCAAGTTATGAAAATAAGTAGACTTCTCCAAATTGTCCGACCTATTGAGTCTGTTCTGCCTCACAATATTTTTGGATGATTTTTCTAAGATGGAACAGCAAAAAGCGCCACCCCACCCCCCTTCTCTCTTGTCTCTGTTTTGCTCTCTCAAAACTTTCTTATTAGATTACTCAAAGTTCAAGCTCAAAGAGATGTACTTCCTGGTATAGTATCCAGGTCCTCAAAAGAATTTTAGGTCAAATTAAATCGGCTCATATCCCAATCTTGCCACGTTCAGCTGTAGCATATTGGGCAAGTTTTCCAAAATTTTGCTAAAGCGTGGTTTGCTCATTGATAAAATGGTACATCTCACCTCCTGTCCCACAATTATCGCAGAATTTTAATATATGCAGCACCTGGCACACAGCAGGTACCTAAGGATTTCCCCCAACGTTCTCCGTGTATGAAAAGACAGAAAGCACAACTTCGGTGGGAGAACCTGCTGTGGAACTACCTAGGAAGAACGCAGGCTCAGAAACCCAGCCGGTTACCATGACAACGACACAGAGCATTCGGGCCTCCAGTGCCCGCTCCTGAAGGGCCTGAAAAGCAACTTACTCGAGCTCATCCTCCGAGTCGTAGCCCACTGGCCCCGCCTCGATGGCAATGAGCTCACTCTTCGCCTGGCTCTGCTTCCAGGCGCTGCCTCCTGCGGAGGAAGGCGATTCCTTTCTCTTCTTCTTCCCGAAGAGCTTCTTAAACGTTTTGAACTTGGATTTTTTCTTTCCTGTGCGGAAGGAATGCCCGTGAGTGCTTACCGAGCCTGTGTGAGACATGCAGGAGAGGGGAGAAAGCAAGACTGCTGTCCATGCACCCAATTCTTCGCTCCTCAACAGCCCGTTTACCACACAGCAGGACGTGAGGCACCTGGCACCCCATTTCTGGACACCAGGAAACAGATCTTGATTTCTGCCTATTTTGGGCATTTAACAAAAGAGCCAAGCGCTGGAGCGTCATCGAAGCATGAGCAACTTTCCTCTCACCTGAAATCAAGTTTTAACCTCCGTCATATACAGGGTCAAAAGCAAAAAGTCCTGATGAGGAAAAGACCATGTCAGAACCCCAATTTTTTTTCCAAAATAATCCTAAGTGCTTCAGTTAGTGTGGACATGAGCACCATGACAGTCAGAGGAGGGCCAGCCTCATGGGCAAGAGGTGCTGGCGGGAGCCCCAAAGCCGGGATGACCTAACAGCTTCCCGTGGGAAAAATCATCATGTGCCGGTGGCCGCGCAGAGACCAACCGCCAGGCTCCCAGGGTGACAGAATTCACAGCCTTGCAAACGCGATGCTCCTGCCTTCTCACCCACAAATCCCACCACACCTGGGCCCTGTGAGGGCGCATTAGTAGCCAAGCAGAGCTCCTTGCTTTCCTCCTGAATCTGTAGGAGGACTATCAATGGAAGGATGCAACACTGTGTATAAGCGGGATGCCGTCTGATATATCCCCAAAATCCACTCCAATGATTCCTGAGTTTATACATAAGTAATTCTGTAAGCTGAGTTCCTTAACAAACAGATGGAATTGTTATCTTTTATGTTGACGCTCCCTTAGGGCGTGTGCCCGATATTGCCCTAATGTGGAGAATTATTAAGGATCAGTCTGGTAGGAGCTCCTGCAGTACCTTAGGTGGAGCTACTCGCTGCCCAGAGGGGATTTAGTTGTTCAGCCACGTCTTACCATCGAATGAAAGTTTCCTCACCTTTATAATCACAAAACAATTATGTTGCTAGTTGGTGGCTCTCAAAGAGAGTCTATTATTTGGAAAGGCTTTTAACAGTTTTCTGCATTTACCAGGTCACCATCTGGCCTTTGCCTAGTTAACAAATAGGTACACATCCCTGCAGGTCTGAGCAAACATGTGGCCTCGCGGTCCTTCACTGTCAAAGATGCCGCTGCCGCTCTGGGGTAATGTTCACAGTGTTCTCAAACGACATAAAAATGGACTAAACTGTTTTGAGTCGATAGTAGTGAAGGTCAAAGAGAAAAACAGTTTAGTCATTCTTGTCTAGTTACTAAGTACACATAGCAAAATACGTTATAAAGTGCAGTGAGGAACGTTTAACTTTAAAAGTAACTATCAGCAGAGGAATTATGTGTTTAAAATAGTGCGGTGGTTTCCCGTCTTATGTTTTAAAGTGCAGTGAGGAACGTTTAACTTTAAAAGTAACTGGCAGCATATGAATTATGTGTTTAAAATAGTACGGTGGTTTCCCGTTTTATGTTTAATATTAGAGGGATCCATGGGCAGCAAAATCTCAGACATATACCAAAGCAATATCTTCACCAATACAGCTCCTAGGGCATTGGAAACTAAGGAGAAAATAAACAAATGGGACTACATCAAAATAAAAAGCTTCTGCACAGCGAAAGAAACCATCAACAAAACAACAAGAAAGCCCACTGCATGGGAGAACATATTTGCCAATGATATCACCGATAAGGGTTTAATCTCCAACATTTACAGAGAACTCATACAACTTAACAAAAGGAAGATAAAC